AGGAGAGCAAGCAAACTGAACAGGGAGGCAGCTCCTGTGCTGCAAGTACATTAGGGCAACATGACTTGGATATTTATTTTTTTGGAAGTGGGTCTAAGCCAGAATTTCCAGAAATTCATCATTCCAGAGTTTCACTGTCCAAATAGAACATTCATAATCTTTTGTGGTGTAATAAATTTAATTAAGTAAAACGGCATAAATTAAAACTCTAGTTCCTTATGACACCAGCCACATTTCAAGTCTTTGATAACAACAGTGCCTAGTAGCTTGCTTATTGTCAGCACCAATATAGACATTTCTATCATCACAGACAGTTCTGTGGGACAACACTGTACTAGAGTGCTATCAACATAAGAAATAGATCATTATTCACAAGTCATTCCATCACTTTCTCCCAGCACTGTCACATACTAATTGTGACACTGGACAGATCAACTAATTCTCTGTGCCTCAGTTTCCCCACCCTACAATAGAGGAGTTCTAGGGGCCTCCCCTGGTGGCGCAGCGGTTGAGCGCTGGGCTGCGAAGCTGCATGCAGCCTCAGCAGCACCAGTTCGATTCCGGCCACCGGGCAAGGGTCCCACATGGCTGCTCCCCTCAGCAGTGTACTTAGTCATGCTGCCTGTTCTGCTCTCCGCTCTGGCTCTGGTGAATTCTCTCACCCTCCCGTGCTTCTGACTGTACCCAGTGCTTGTATGAATAAATAAATCTTTAAAAAATAAATAAATCCTAAAAAAAAAGAGTAGTTCTATTCCCTATTTAAAATATATTATCACAGGCATTCCTTTATTTAATATATGAAAGTCATAGGGAACCTGGCTTATTATAGTAGTAAATGTTAGCTAATATTAACTGTTTTAGTTGCAAAATATGTATTACAGAATAATAATTGAAGACCTATTTGGGAGCAATACACATTTGCTATGTTGTGATGAACATAACTCAACATATTCAAGGTGAAAGGTTAAAATAAATAACCATTTAAAAAGTGGCCAGAGAAGGGAAGGGAGTCAATTAAATAAGCCACAATGGTATTACAATTTGAGTTTCTGTATAGATTTCTTTTTTTGTTGTGTTTAATTCTCTTACACCATTCATTTTTGTACAGTGTTAAATCTCTCCCCTCAGGCAGGTGTAGTCCCCATAATTGTCCCACCACCACAAGCACCCATGGCCCATCACCATAGTCCAATTGTGATCATTGCTCCCCTGGTTGGACCCCAGTCCCTCCCTTGTTGTATACCTCAGATCTATGGTTTAGATTCTGTGCAAACTTCTTACTATCTAGTAATTGAAAGGAAGTAAAAGGACATTGAGTGTGTGTGTGTATGTGTGTGTATGTGTTTGAGAGACAGAGAAACAGAGGCAGAGAGAGCGAGAACCACTGATCACACACCACAGGGGTGCCAAAACACACACAATCTCCAGGAATGCTATTCTGGAAGCTTCTGGCAAACCCCAACTACATGTTTTAAATGGTAGAGACCGAACAATGGGCAAGTAAGTCCAGACACCTTGAGAAAAAAGTAGAATTGAATGTCTTCCAAAGAAAATAATAATTAGGAGTAATAAAACCACAGATGGAAATTTTAACTACACCTGCTTACCCAAAGTATTTCCGAGATTTATTTTTAAGACACAGATACATGTTTGTAATTAAAGAACTTATGACCCGAGTTTGTTATTTTAGAGAGACAAGATATTAGAAAATGGATGCAAGTTTTAAATTATGCTTAACACAGCAAAACAAGTGATATCATAGTGTTAGAACAAAGGTTATTTGAAAGCTCTTCTGTCTGGCGAAATGTACTTTGTTTTTTACCCTTAATGCAAAGAAAATACAAAGCCCTTTGCTGTGGGTATCAGTAATTTGATTCAGCTTTTCTACTTTTTCATAACTGCCTTTAAAAATATTTACTGTTTATTGTGCTTTTAAATTGTCAAATGCCACAGGTAACCACAATGGTAAGCCTCAGTTAAAAAGGAAAAGGCTCTTGGACTCATTCATTTTCTTAAAAACAAGACAACAGGTCCAATAGGGAGTCACTTATACTAAGTTCCATGACCAAAGTGTGACTTAATTATAGTTCTGGCTCTCCTAGTAATGGAGTTGTAAGCCAGTCAATCAGGACTCTGCTGATCAGTGATATGTCTTTGATATGACCAACGTACACTTTGCTAGTGTAGCTTCCTTGTTCCTTCTCCCTTCAGCCTATAAAATCATTCAATTTGTAATGTTTCTTGGAGTTCCTTTCTATGTGATAGATGGGCTATTGCCTAATCATGGTAAAGTGAGTAAGATTTTTAAAATTTACTCAGCTGATTTTAAGTTTCATTTATAATTAACATTACAAATTATCCTGCTTTTAGACTGTATAGATAGTAATCCAAGTAAAATGCAATTATTTATATATTTCTCTTTTTTTTTAATATATGGGCATGAGTTATTTATTAATTAAGATTTATTTATTTATTTATACAACCACTGGGTACAGTTAGAAGCACGGGAGGGTGAGAGAATTCACCAGAGCCAGAGCGGGGAGCAGAGCAGGCAGAAGGACCGAAGTACACTGCTGAGGGGAGCAGCGGGTGGCAGGAGAGGTCTGCGCACCATGTGGGAACCTCGTCCGGTGGCCGGGGAGCAGCCGGGGATCGAACCGGCGCTGCAGAGGCTGTGGGGAGCTTCGCAATCCAGCGCTCAACCGCTGCGCCACCGGGGAGGCCCTATTTTTCTGACTTTTTTTATAAAAAGCTTTCATCCTAGTCAAAAACAAAACAAAACAAAACAAATTTCCCTTTGATTTGAAAAGCTTGGAAATCATAATTAACCAATTGGAGGTATTATTATAAGTGATTTGTCTGATTTCAATATAGTCAGAACTTACTTTTCTCACCTATGAAAGTTATGTGATATTGATAAAGACTTAACAAAGATGGTCTAGAAGGAAGAAACTATAAATTCAAGATGGGCAGTTTTGAAATTTCTTACCTCAAAGTAATTACTTGAACATGGCATGTACATTTCTGCCATTTGTACCTCTGAGTGTGTCTTAAGAATATAATTTTTCAGTTTACATTTACCTGTATTCTTACACTTCCTCAATTTGTCCTGGTTCTTTTCTTTTCATGAAGAAAATGGTAATAAATATTGAAATAGAAATTTAATAAATAAAAAAAGTACAGAAAGGTAGAATTATTCAGATTGCTTGATTGGTCACTTCCACTATAATAGGAAAAAATACTTAGAAAGTTGCTACCTCAGGAAAAATATTTCTTCTGGATATTCATGGGAAATTATGAAATATAGAAACTGTTATCAGATAATCTCAAAGATAGATTTCTAAAAAAAAAAAGAATGTTAGAGTTGATAAGACATTTATCTTCTGCTCTGATTCTCCAGAAATTATCTTGAGGTTATATTCTCTAGACTCAAAGGATGAAATTCAGGGGTGATATCTTAGCAGTGAATGACTCATCTCAGAAACTGGGAAGTTTCTATCAGATTATCACAGAAATTTGGGGAAAATACTTTTGAGTAGTAGCACCATTCTTTATTTTCCTTTTGGGCACTATCACATTTTTACTACTCTGTTCACTGACCCTAGATGTGCACATCTGCTAAAAAGGATCCTTTACACTCAAATAAGCAAAACCTATGTGTGATAATGCATGTTAGACAGTCAACAGGGACTCAAAAATATCAGCTGAGATGCTACCATTAACTAGACACCAAACAGAGTTCAAAGATCAGTCAAGCTTTAATCCAAAGGTTAAAGCACAGGATACTAAGGCTACCCCTTATTTAACACAACAACCAGAGAAAGGCCATTCACCCTGAATTACTTGTGGAATGCATAATTATTTGTTTCCTGCTGTTTATAGGTCATTGATCAAAAATCTATGAATGACAAGACTCAACTTTAAATAATGGCAGTCTGTAGAGGAAAAAGACTTTTAAGTCACTTTAAATTAAAATAATCTTTTGTTCCTTTCTAAATGGAAGACTTTGATGCTTTATTTTGACCAAAACCAAATATCATTTCTCTACAACTAATAACATCTTCAAAAGGTCAGAAAAAAAATGAATATATAGCTCGACATGCTCACAGAGAAAAAACACCCCCAAGACATCCAAGATTCTGAAATATGCCCTACTAGAATGCACAGTTTCTCAACAAATAATGGTTAAAATGAATATTAACCATTTAAAATGCTTCTGGGAGTAACATACACTCATCATGGGGAGATTAATAATAACACGTGCATTATCAAAGGAATGTTCAAAACACTGAAAAAAAAATGGTTACCTTGGAGCAGTTTACTTAAGATGCTGTTGACCTCTACCTCTTAGTCAATGCTAATATTCGCTTAAAGAAAAAGAAGTCCCAATAAATGATAACATTACCATTTTCTGTTTCAGTACTTTATTTCAAAATGTTCAAGAGAACATTGCTTACTTTTAATTAATGCAAATAAACCTTAATACTTCTTGCATTGAAATATGATAAACACTGTTCCATAACACAAGGACATTTATTGAATTCTGATTCTTGGACTCTATTCCTTTTATCTTAGACACATGAATCAAAAATATTGAAAATGTTTATATAGGGGAGGAGGGGAGAAGGGAGTAGGATCAAAACAAGGGTGGTGGGAATTGTACAGGGACTATAACCAAGATGAAAATGCATACATTGTGCAAAAATGAAAAATAATGTAAAAAATACATAAAATAAAAAAATTTTAAAAAATTAAAAGAAAAGGTTAGAATAAAAAAATATTGAAAAGGAAATTGTGTAATATTTGGCTAAAGTAACACACTGAACCAAGTCATCTTTTGTTCCTAACTGGAAGAGTTTGATGCTTTATTTAGAACAAAACCATATATCAATTCTCTACAACTAATAACATCTTCAAAAGTAATTACTAATTTACTAGTAATTACTAATTTAGCTAAAAAGAACACAACTCTACAACTTTACCATGCAACCAATGTCTACCTTAGATAACTCCATGCCTGGTCCACATTGCTTGCAGAGAACACAATTTCCAGATCGATCCCTGAATTCTTGTTGTCTACAGTCTCCTGTTTCACAAATCCCTTTACATACCTGGAAAAAATGTTTCACAAAATGTTATCTTAAAATGTATTTTTTAAATTTTTCTGTTGATCTGCTTTTACTGAGATTTCCTCTTTTAAAAAATCTGACAGTCATAAATCAATAAAATTCTTAATGATGACAGTTGTGGCCAAACTCTCTTCAAAGTAAAAGTGCTATGTAAATATGAGCTTATTCTTACTGAATACCATTTATCCACTTAAATGGGACCTAACAATATACCTTGGGGTGAGAGCATAGGATTCATTGGAAAGATTATCTACTTTGGCAAAAATAGTTTTTAATTATTTCCCAAAATATATACTTTCTCCCTTTACTTTATCTAAAAACAGTAACTCTTATCAAACTACCAAAATATATTTACATGTTTCTAGACAGATGACATTTCATAAAAAATGTTGCTATTAAAAGAATCTCAGATTGGTGACAATATTTAGTTCCATCTCTTATTCTATGTAGGATTGCCCTTTCTAACATTCTTCACTATGATTTTAACTTTCTGTATTTTTTTTGACCATCAATAGAAAATAACTTTAATAGAATTAGTGTGCAATAGAGAGAAGAGAAAGAATATAGCTAAAATAGTTTCCCATAATTTTGGTTTTGTAAATGAAAGCTGAAAGCCATAGGAAGTACTGCAGGAGGAGAGACTGGTTAAGGCCTAACATACATAGATACATAGGGAATTGTTTTTGATAGTTCTAATAATGAATAATTATTCAGTAAAATTATCTCTACCTTGAAGCGGAAGAATATGTGATGATTACTGCAACTTCCTTAACTAAAACCTCTAGAGAAAGTAGGAGGGAAAATTCGAACTGGGGGTTAGGACTGAAAAATGATTTGGGGCTAAAGGTCTAATAACCTCTTCCTCTCTTTATTCTCCCTTGATTTTATTTGAAAGATAGAGGATTGTCTTCCACCAAGTAGAGACTGTAATTATTTGAGAATGAAATTGCCCCAATCTATTTCCTAGGCCGTTTGTTCCAATGGTTCACAACCTCAATTGAAAAGAAGCTTTTCTTATATGTACCTGAATTATAGACTTCAATTTGACCCTGTTTCTTCTTACTTTTTCTTCCAAGAAGACTTTAGGTACTGTCTTCAGGATAAATAGTTCTTTTTCTTTTTATTTTTTTTTAAAGATTTATTTTATTTATTTATACAAGCACTTGGTACAGTCAGAAGCGCGGGAGGGTGAGAGAATTCACCAGAGTCAGGGCGGAGAACAGAGCAGGCAGACTGACGAAATACACTGCTGAGGTGAGCCGTGGGTGGCAGGAGAGGTCTGCATACCATGTGGGACCCTCACCTGGTGGCTGTGGATCGAACCGGCGCTGCAGAGGCTGCGGGCAGCTTCGCAACCCAGCGCTCAACTGCTGTGCCACTGGGGAGGCCCTAAATAGTTCTTTTTAATATTTATAGAGCATGATTACAGTTCCAGACTAAAAAAGTTCGTCTTTTGAAAACGTCATATTTTGTGAGAAGCTAACATTATAATTCTCCATCTGTATTTAATGCTTTCTGGACTGAAAAGGATACAAATAACTATTAAGAAATAACTTTTAAAAATCTCAATTCTGCACAAGCCATGTAAGTCACAATTCTGTTAGGGTCTAGAACATCAATCAAGAGACATGCCTGTAAACTCAGGGAAAATCATTACAAGGCTAATATCTAACACTGTTATTTTATCACTTCATTTACATTTAAGTAAAACAATTCAGCAATCATCATGGGAGTTGATATTCAGTAGCATTTTTTGTTCATTATTAATCATTGTTACCATAAATTATTAATGCAGTAAAAATAAAATATAATTTGAAAGAAAAATTTTAAATGTGGGATTAAAGACAGAAAATAGTCAGTACTACTTATATGAATTCTTTTACCACATTCTTATGAAAGTAAGGAAAAGGAATTGACTTACCAAATATGTTAGTAAAACTACAATGGTGAAAAATAATTTCTCTTGTTCTAGTAACACTTTTAAAGCCATCGCTCCTATTAAATGTATTTACTGTTGAAGCATCCTAAAAGATAAGAAGATATAGTTAACATTAATAACATTAACAACTACGCTCTGTATTTGTTATATTGCTTACCATTTACTATTTATACTAGGTAACATCATTTATATGGTTAAAAGGAATTCTCTTTGAAAAAGATACAATATAACAATAGTATGTAATTCTTTAAAAAGTTTAGGTGGTAAGAATGGATGCTTTGTCTTCCTATATATCATATGCAAAACTCCTACTGGCTCTGAATTCCCATGCTTTTATTTTCTAACCAAGTCTCTGTACTGGTCAATATATTTCATCCAGTGGAGAATTATATTTAAACAGAAACAAGATTGAGCTGACATTTTTATGATTTAATCAGTGCCACAGGGATGATAATAGTGATAAAATAATTAACAAGACCTAAGCACTATGTGGTAGTACTATTTTCAGCATGTTAAATCATTTAATCCTCACAACTACTCTAGAAGGTAGATAGTATCATTACCCCCATTTTAGGATGGAGAAGCTGAGGCCCAGAGAGGGCTGAGTCATTCATCCAAGGTTGCACCGCTGTTAAGAGGTAGAGCTAGATGCAAACCCAGGTGGTTGGCTTCAGTGTCCCTTTATCCCTTATACCCTGCAAAACAATCCACTCTGTTTAATAAAACTTGGACCTTCGGCTCCACTAAGAAGCAAACACACAGCTAGCATTTGGCATTTGTGAATTCTTCCCTAAACTACTACAGGGCAACTATCTCACAGCAGAAAAGTAAGCATTCATTTAAGAACATTTAAAAATAATTAACTAGTTTGAAATTGGAAGCACTAGCTTGACATTTCCATAAAAGATAAACCCTAAGATCCAGCAATACCACTTCTATCTATTTATTTGAATAATATGAAAGCACTAACACAAAAAAGATAGGTTCAGAGCAGCAGTATTCATAAGAGCCATGTCATGGAACCAACCTAAATGCCAATCAATAGGTTACTGCAGAATTTAGATATATATGCTCACTAGAATACTACTCAGCTATTGAAAAAATATGAAATCATGTCTTCTGTGACAAATATGGATGCAGTTTGAGGTGATTATGCTAAGTGAAATAAGTTGGAAAGACAATTACTGATAGTTTCATTCATTAGTAGACAAGAAATAACCTAAGAAAACAAACTGGCACTAAAACTTGATTTAAAAGAAGATAAACAGAACTTCTTCAATTTGACCAGAAAGATTCTAATATATAAAGACAAATTTGGTTGTTTGCTTGTTCATTTTATAGATTCATACAATGTCAAGAGAAGGAATTTGTTTTCAAAAAGTGAAGACTCGTCTGGTGGTGAACAATGCTTCAATTGGCCTTTGAAGTTAAATCTCCCCAAACTAACAGTGGCCCACAGCAGATAATCTGACCACTTAGAAAGAAGCCAGAGCAAAGAATCAGAACTACAGACCAAAGAGCTCAAGAAAAACAGTAAAATGCCAACAAAGCAACCAGAACAGGGCAGGCTACTGATCATACAGCTAATCAGGGTGACTTTAATCAGCTCTGTAGATGTGTAACCAAGATGGTCCTTTCAGACACCTAAGCAGATCCAGTCATAGGGCAATGAAAAATCATTTTTAATGTTTGTTGAATGAATAACCTAATTTGAGTGAATTCAAACACTTTCTTGGATGTTTTTTCTTTTCCAGCTTCTTAATTACAGTTTTTTCCCTCCCCTTATACATCTCAAAATCATCTAACAATTATGTAACCATGCAGCTTGTGTAGACCCAAGTTTGGGGTCAGCAGATAAAAATCACATTCCCTGGAAAGTATGGTTCATGTTACCTCTTTCTTGACATGGTCCTACATTTTTTTTTAAAATGAGCTAATTTTTAAAGCAAAAAACATAAAATCTATACGGGATTAAACTAATATGGAAAAGAGGGAATAAACACCAAAGCATTTACACAAACTATGAGAAATAGAGATTAGTAGAGTCAGAGCATAACAATAGCATTGAGAAGGTAGTCTGGACAGAATACTCTATTGAGACACTGTGTTAATGATCGAGGAAGGCAGACAAATGCTGGAGCAGTCATTGACATATACATCAAGTTAGGAGTCAAAGCAATATGATTTTGACTTTATAGAATATGTCTATTTTATGTACAAAAATAAACTGGCCAAGATAGTATCAATGGTTAGATTCATATTGTGGCATTCTGGATGAATTTTCCCCTTCTTTTCTCAAAAAATTCTTCATTGTATAAATATTTCATTAACAATGAAAAATATATGTGTGTAACATTTTTATGGCAAAAATTTAAGTGAACACTTTAGACATGTTTTTTAAAAGGAACACTACCAAAGAAAAGAAAATCAAATAAAATTTTATGACATATATCAAGAGAGTTTCTTTTCTAATGATAAGGTAGAAAAAACATAATGGAACTATCAGTATATCTGGTGCGCTGACTTGTATTATTTTTCCAACATGCATGCTAAGTTGAATAGTTCAAATGAGAAATATAAGGGTAGCATTACCATGACTAAATTTCCAAGTGTGCAGGTGGACTACTTCCCACATATTTTTTCCTAAACTCCTAACCTGAGAGCTCTCACAACGTCACCAGATGGCCTGCCTGTCTCATCACTGGTCACCCCTCCCACGGGCCATCCATTTCAGTGATATGCTGATATCACATTTCTCCTGAACACCAGTGATCTTGTTCTCTTCCTCTGGATCTGGAGAGTCTCCTACTAAATACCTCCAATGACCAGCCTGCTCTCACACTGCTGAGATGCTGTCCACAACTAAGAGAGTTGCTCCCTATGGTCCTATAATTCTTTCTACATTCCTTCATATGCTTATTGCTGTATCAGTTTTACTCATCAGACAGCATGCTCCTTTAAAATAGGGACAAGGCCTTTATTACTCTTTGTATTTCCAGTGTCAAGCATATTGCCTGGCACATACAGATGCTCTATAATGTTTGATGAATTAAGTAGACAAAGAAGCACAAATAATGAAGTATATATTGCAGAAAACAAGTGAAATTTGGTTGCATGTAACAGACTTAATTCTTCTCTGGTGAATAGATTAAACATTCTGTTTCATATATGTATCCCTTATCCATCCATCCATGCATCCATCCAATATCTACATCTGTCTATCCATCTATCTTTTTACATGTTCAAGACATTAAATGCTTTAAAAGAGGAGACAGGATTAAATAATAGAGTGATACATTTTTAAAATTCCTAATTTACTAGAAAGTACAGGGATTTCAGCACATTGGGAGATTTCTAATGGAGTTGGAAATTGAAATGTGCCATTGACTTGCTTTCTGTGACTTTTCTTTTATCCTAGTTTTTTATACCAAAGACTGGAAAATCATTTAGACTGTGCAGATTATCCTGACAGAAGTCAACATGATGTAAAATCCAGGTTTGAAGAGTTTTCTGCATGTAAACCTAATATGTGTAAAAATAACCTGGATCTCATTGGGAATGTCAGGAGAAAGTAGCAACCGAACACCTGGGTTTTCAGTCCCATTTCTTAGCAACGTCACTTTGAGTTTACACATTAAGAGAGACAAAAACAGAACTTATTTCATGGACATGCAGTGGGATGAACTGAGATAACTCACATAGTGTTTAGCCCAGTACTTAGAACAGAGTGAGAGATTCATCGATTATGGTTGCTGATACTGTTATTGTTGCTTTGCTGTTGTGAGCACCACTTTTTAGCTGTATGAACTTGCACAAGTTATGAAACCCAAGTCTCAGTTTCCCAAATCTAAATTTGGCATAATGACATTAAATACCTCCTGATATTGCTGTGAGGAATAGATGAGTTTAACAGCTGTACAGAAAGCACTTACAGGAGTGTTAATTGATATAAACTGTTTCTGGCTCCTAGCAAGTGCTCTCTAAGTGCTAGCAATTATTGTTGTTCTTGTTAATGGTATTATTGTTGAGGATCAAATGAGCCATTGCATGTAACAGTCCTTGAAGCCTGTAACCTGTTACACAAATGGAAGACATTTTCAGACAGTCACAATCAAGGGGCAGGTCATGTTTTAGACCTATCCGTATGCAGGAGGCATTCAAAGACTGATTCAGAGTTTGAATTAAGCAATTATAATGTCAAGAACTTTGTTAAGGATTTATTAAAAGTATAACATTTTTTTCTTTACTACCATACTGTAAAGTAGACATTTAGTAAGGAAGAAGAGAAAGAAAACTGAGGGTCAAGGGACACATGTAATTTAAGCAGTAAAAGCCAAATCATATTCATGTCTACTGACTCAACAGGGCACTCAACCATTCTGCAGGGCTAACTCTGGGTTGTAACCTACCATCCTGCACTGTCCATAGCCCTCTTGGCATAGATGGACTACACCCACAAAATTGACTAACACAAGCAAAACTAAATAAGAGAACAGTACATTGAATTGTTCATCCATTTGGCCAACACAGTTTGATGCAGCAGTTATCAGGTGCCTGCAGGGAGACAGGGTCAGGTGGAGGGGTGGGGATGACACTACAGATGCACTTGAAGAGAGCTCGGCTTAGCAGGACTGGTGAGATCTCCTAAACACCTTTTAATATAGCCTGGCCACGGGGTATTTAGAAAGAGCCAACTTAGCTGGTATTGGCGGAGTCTTACAAGTGTGACCTTGAATTTCCTGGAATAAAAATAAATACCTTGTGAAATGCTCTGGCATTTATAAAAAAAAAAAAGGAAATTTTAATGAAATAACAAGCATTTAAGTAATTACATTTAAACTAAAATTGAAGTAATAAAAAGGAATTTATTGAAATTGCTTTTAAACCTGGGCTTTTAGGGCGTAGTGTCTATTTACTTGAGATGACTTGTTAGGAATAAGACAAACACATTATAGAGATTAGGTTCAATAGATGCTCTGGGATTTTCATAGTTTGCCAAAATATTCAAACTAGATACTATCACTAACTATCTAGCATCTATTTTGCAAAATAAGCATAGGGAAACTGACCCAAGCAAAGCAATAA